GGAACACACGGGGTTTCTCTACCGAGAAGCTCTGGGTGCTGCTGGACCGTGGAGGACACATGACTCAAGACCAGGGAGGATCATAGGGACCTAACTCACGCTAGGAACAAGGGGGCGGCCATTGTGGACGTCAGGATCAAAGACAACCAGGATTCCAGGCTTGAAATGTGGACAGAGATGAAAAGAGGGGACAGGCACCGCATAAAAGGGTCAGCATTAGTCTAGGAGAAGAAAAAGATCAGGACAAAGAAAAGCTGAGTTATTATTCAGAGGGAGAGAAGATTCTTGAAGATGATCACCTTTGTCAAACGTTCCAATGAGCCCACTCCACTTGACTGTTTTGACCTTGATTGCGACCTCAGAGAGGCTGATTCCAGAGAATGAAGAGCAGGAGCCATTATTTAATKTCTTTATTAATGAATGGGCTTAATGAAGAGGTAAATAATCCAGGGGTAAATTGCAACTTTACATGGGATTAAAAGGACAAATAAAATAAAGGCACTGTTTCTTGAGAGTTAAAAAAAAAACTTTAATGGGATATAAAGCAATATCCAATGGAGTACCCCAAAAATGTAGAATTTATTGCAAGAATTTCAAATATTTCAAAGGAAGTGAATAATGAGGGTTGGGTTAGTTAAAGAGGTTTGCTCATAGATTCAAGGTCACTGTTGGGAGTGGCCATGATCACGGTGAGGTGATGATGCTCTTGTTAATGATGATGATGATCTGAACAGGGTGGTGATGTCAAAAGAACTGTACCCTGTGGAATAAATGTCTTTCTTTGGGCTTTGAATTACAATGATGGAAAACTTAAACACACACACACACACACACACACACACACACACACAGTACTTAGTGTTTATCCTGGTTCCTGGCACAGAACTCCAAAATTCTTAGATTTCCTTAGTCGTGGGCATATCTTTTGTTATCCAGAGCAAATCCCTTTAGGCCTTACCTGAGTTTATGGTCATGAGGTGCCTTAGGATGCAGCTCTGGAGAGCTTCAAGATTGGGGCTGACCAACTCGATCAGAAGGATGGGAACTGCAAGGTCAGGGATTTAATCAATGAGGCTCACATAAGTAAACCTGGGTAAACTCCCTAAAGCACAGGGTTCTCTCAGCTTCTGGGTTGAACGTGGTCAATCAGTGGCAGAGTGGACTGATGCAGGAAGGCGTAGGAGCTCGGCACCCCTGCCCCCCATATACAGGCCCTAATGTGTCTGCTGTGGTGTGGGTAAAAGTCCCTCACAGGCCCATGTGTTAAAGGCTTGGTCCCCAGTCTGAGGGATTGTTGGGAGGTGGGGAACCTTTAGAAGATGGGTCCTAGTGGGGGACATTAGGGCACTGGAAGCATGGCCTTGGAGGGAATATTGGGGCCCTGGCCTTTCCTTTTTTCTCTTTCTTTTACTTTTGGCCATACAATGAGGATTGCTGCTAGGTKCTCCTACCATGATGTGYTGCCTGGCTGCAGACCCAAGTTCAATGGGCCAACCAAACACGGACTGAAAACTTCAAAACAGTGAGCCCAAATCAACCTTTTCTCCTTATACGTTGATTATCTTGGGAAATTTGTCACAGTGATACATAGCTGACTAACACAGCGTCTCTCCCACGGGACTGCTCCTGAGTGGTGTCMTTTATAATAAACCTGTAAGTAAGTAAAACACTTTCCTGAGTTCTGAGAGTCATTCTCCTGAATTGTTGAACTCAGAAGGGGTTCATGCTAACTCCAGGCAGATGTATGAGTAGCCTGGGCACCCCATTTGCAGCCGGCAGCTAAAATGAGAGACTCTTGAAGAACTGAGCCAATAAMCGTGGGATTTAGCCTTGCTCTGGGAGTTGGTGTCAGAATGGTATTGAATTGTGGGACCCTCAGTGAGTGCTAGGGAATCGCAGAATTGGAGTAGAAAATCAACATGTCTGTGGTGTCAGAATGTACTTCTCAGCTGTCCAAAATCATTCASACACATTTATTCCTGGGTTAAAGTTAATCTTCATAATAGCCTGACGTAGGCAACTAYACTTAAATAACCCCCAGTCCCTGCTAAAAGGAGTATTTTCTAGTGTAGAAAAGCTAATAACTTACTTCAAGTTCACGTAACCAGAGTTCTACTGACATAAGATATACTCTAATTCATGTGTATCAACAATGAAAACCCATTTCAGTGATGTAATAAAAGGTCCATTCCCTGTGTAAATGGAATAATCATTATTTTGTAGTGCAGCATTTTTAGACAGTGGCCCGAGTGTCATTTGGGTTAGTAAAGGCACAGTCTCTTCTTGGCCAAAGCAACCCACAGAAAGAGGTCCACACAGAAGCTCTGACTGGGCCTCGGGGCTCACCTGCAGTCCCAGAGGCCTGACATGCTGAGGCAGGGGGATTACAAGTTTGAGGCCAGCCTCAGCAACACAACTTATCCAGACTCTGTCTCAAAATACAAACACACAGATAAAGATGTAGGGTGTAGCTAGGAGGTGGAGTGTCCCTGGGTTAAATTCACAGTACCACAAAAAATAAAGCCCTGAGCCCAGGCAGACCTAAGAGGCCTGTGCAGGCACAGCCAGAATCACAGCTCTGGTCTCCATCATTCGATATTATTTTGTATCTCCCTTTCGATGCCAACAGAATTATTTGCTTCTGGAAATAATCTGGGGTTATCTTTCTCTTTTYGAAATTCTCTCGCTGCATCGCCCCATATGGGAGAAGAGCCCTCTCACCACGAGTCAAAGAGGGGTTTGCTGCGAATTGCAGTCTGTTCCCTTCCCATCCGAGATTCCTGGGGCGTCTTGATGACAGGCTGGTCACACACAAGATGTGCCTCTGGAGACTGTCCCTTTAGCCATCCTCGTGGCTATGTCCAGTGGGTTCCTAAATCTCTCAGAAAGAACCAACCGCACAGCAGAGGTGGGGGCCGAGTGGTGACCAGGAGGGAGTCCAGGCTTCCCCGAGACTTTCCTGAGACGTGGTGGATTAGAAGGACACGGAGCCCTGAAGCCTGCACACTGGCAGCACCAATGCGTCACGTGCCAAGAACCCCCAGGCCTTCTGATCCTTGAGCCGTGAGAGATGTAAAGCCCGGGACTAATGGGTTCAGACGGATGCTTGGAAAGATCGTGGGCTGCAGTGTCGAGACAGATGGGAACAGAGTAAGACCACAGCCAGGAGGCTCCTCTTTAGTGTTTGGTGGTTTAGGTGAGGGGTGGGTATAAGGGACAAAAGAGTTCAGAATGTGTCTGGCTTCTGGGCTAGACAGATAATAATGCATTATTCACTAAGCTGTAAGTGAACGCAGGGAAGGCTTACTGAGTGGATACCAGGAGTTGAGGTTCATTTTGTAAAGTTAGAGTTTGAAACTGGAATGAAATTCTTGACTGGTGAAATCTAAATGGCAGCCAGAGGCATCAAACAGGAGCTCAGGGAACAAATTCAGACTTCCTCTGTTGACGTGGAAGCCATTTAGTTGAAAATAGCTTTTGCAATCCCAGATAAGCCTGCTGTGGGGGCTAGAAAGACTGCAGGAGGCCGGACAGCAACGCCCCTACTCCCATGAAATTGACATTAGAGTTGAGAAAGGTGGAAGGAAAAAAAAAGTAGATAAGAAACCAGGAATCTGTGGTAAGGACATTAAAATAAATAAAACAGAATGAAGTGATTAGGAGGGACACCGGTGTATTTTAGACTCTAGGGCACTGTGGTCTCTCCGCCATCCGCATGGTGGTGTTCACCGATACCAAGGACTAGGAGAGAATGCTCAGGACAGAGGAGGAGATTGAGAGCCSAGGGAGCCGACAGTAAAGGGCAGATTCTGACAGGCCCAGGGTCTTGCTCTTCCTGTGTGAACCTGGGCAAATTCTTTAATTTCTGAATCTCAATTTCCTTGCATATAAAATTAATGGAGGATCAAAATAATACATTTTAAAAGCCGTGAGAACTAGTTGAGAACATTATATGAGGGAATGCATAGAAGACTTTCTGCAAAAGCAGGGCCGTGGATGTAYAGAATTGGAGAAATCAGGATTCTTGGACCGTGACAGAGCCGTCACTGGTTCATGCAAGGTCCCCTTAATTTTTCAGATAGTTAATCCTCCCATCTTCTCATTCATTCATTTGAAAAGAATGAGAACCCACTAAACAAAAGCTGGGATCTTGAGAATAACCCCCATGCYCAGCCCACTCTCCATCTCTGCTCCTTCCCACCCAAAGGACTTATTATTCTGAAACAAATTTTCACCCACATTTTCTTTTTCTTTTCATATTGTAGTCAYATATGTAACAACATAAAAAGGATCACTTTTTCCTGGTTTAAATGTATGAATAGGCTGTCATGCTTTACATAATCTTTCAGAAATTACTTATTTTGTCTACTCATATTGTTTTGTGTTGATTCAGCTGATTCATTTTCAATGTTGAATCCATCGGCTGAGTGCATATCTAATAATGAATCGTCGGCCTCCCACTTAATGGGCRGTGGGTTTGTCCCCATATATGACTGTTGTGAGGAGTGCTAGCAGTCTCTAAGTTTTCGCTCATGTYAGAAATACTATTATTGTTATTATTAAGAAAATAGAGTAATAGGCCTAAAATCAGAGGAAATTCACATTACCCAGAAGAAGACAATGTCCTCCATGGGCACTAGACTGGTCTCTCGGCAGGAAARGGAAACCACAGACTGGACTCTGTGTACCCCGTGCAGGGTGCCTGACCACCGGACCCACACTCCCAGGCCAGGCTTCCATCCCAGCCCGGCCAGGCTGAGCCCTGGGGGACACAGGAACCTGTGGGGGTGACGCTGGTGACAATAAGCGAGGGACACTGAGGTGCAGGAGGAAGACTTTATTATTCTGTGACACAGAAGGAGTGCTGGGGAGGGGAGAAGCTTCTGCAGGAAGGTTTCAGCTTCTCAGAGCCCAGGACGTGGGGGACGAGAGAGGGAGGGAGGACTGGAGGCGGGACAGGTCTTCTGCACTCGGGTGGCTCGGGGTCCTCAGGGCCCAGGTTAGCAGCAGCCCCCAGACTGCTGGCCACCTCCACTGCTGCTGCCGCAGCAGCCACCACTGCCCCCGCTGCTGCCACCACTGCTGCAGCAGCCACCGCTGCCCCCACTGCTGCCACAGCAGCCACTACTGCCACCTCCACTGCTGCAGCAGCCACCGCCACCTCCGCTGCTGCAGCAGCCAGAGCTCTGGTGTCGGCGGCGGAGAGACCTGCGGGGCCGGTGGTGGCTCAGGCAGCAGCCCCCACCCCCGGAGCTGCAGCAGCCGCCACCCCCCAAGCTGCAGCAGCCCCCGGAGCTGGAGCTGCAGCAGGAAGAGACTTGAGGGCTCTTAGGGGGACACTTTGGGGGGCACTTGGGGGCCTGACACTTCTGAGGGCACTTGGGAGGGGGCTGGCACTGCTGGCTCTGCTGGCAGGACATCTTTGAGAGGAAGGCAGTGAACCTAGAGAGACGGTTGAGAAGCCATCAGCAGAGTGGCMAGCAGAACTATGTCCTTCCTGCACTCTGGTCTCCAGATCCTCCCTCCACGGCAGCTTATTTGTGAACAAGGTCTGTAGCCGACATTTGGAGGCTGATGTAAAGTATGAGGAAGACTCTCCCTCCCTCTCTTGCTCTTTCTCCCCTGACCACCTTCTCATGGGCTCCGGTCAGGCCCCTGGTAGGCTGCCAGCTCTGCAAACAGCCAGCCTGCGGCTCAGAGCCTCCTTTGCTGGATGGACCACCCTGTGCCTGTCGGGTGGGTCCTCTGGGAGAACTCACTGGAAGAGGGTTAGAGGGGAAGCACYGAAGGCTCAGAGGTCAGCAGGTAACCCCAGGGCTCCTGTGGTCTCCTCCTGACCCCACTGTCCGCAGAGCAGTTCTGCTCGCTCTCCCACCCTAAGCTGGGACCCTCACAGCCTGCTTCTCCCCAGCTCCTTACCAGACCACGAGAAGTCGGGAGAGGAGGTCACCAGCCTGGGCCCTGGTCAAGCACAGTCCCTCACACKGGCTGCCCCTACCTTCCCCTGCCCTCCCTCCATGAAGTCCCATCTGCCTTCCTCCCTGTCCAAGGACTCACCTAGTCAGCGGAGGACGCTGGAGCTGTCACAGGCAAGGCCGAGGACTGAAGAGCCCAGTGCTGGAGCCCTTTTATCTTGCCRTCTTTCCGGGAGTGAGGCACAGCCTGTGCATGAAGATCAGTCACTTTCACAGCCCAGGAGGAGGGTGACTSTCTTACACTCCCAGCCCCTGGGCACCAGGATCTCCCTGGGCAGGTGCCAGGAGGAATTCCAGAAGCCAGAGATGGCCCAGATATCTCCTCCAGAGGCCTGCTGCAAGCCAGCCATTCCACCTTATCCACTCATTCACTGCTTAATTCCATAGATATGCAATGTCTAGCTGGGGCCCATGATTTTGCAAGCTATCAGTGACACAAAGATGACCTGCTGCTCTGAGGAACTTATAGTCTTCAAGCATGAATATGGAAGTAATGATCTGCACGTTTATGTGCCAGCTGATCTTGATCTTTTGTTCAGTTCCCTGTAGCTCTTCCCTTGGGTGTCTGATGATCTGTCCAAGTTATGAACCACTTGAAAATAGCATATGTTTTAATTGCCTCTGCATTCCAAGTGCTCGGTGTAGTCTYGGGCATAGTCATCTTGAGAAAATTAAACATCAGGAAAGAAGCAGGCAGATATTTATAAATCACGGAGGCAAAGACTCGGGCTGTGGTGTGGAGGGCGTGAGAGTAGGTGGGCAGAGTGCAGACCCAGAGGGACMTATGGGATGTGGAAGCTAAGGCCTTGGAAAGCCGGATGACCCCTGGAGAGCACTGGGCACACGATGGGGTGGTGCCCCCATTACAGGGAGGGGGAACTCGAGCTGTGGAAGAGTCAGGACAGACAAATATTATTTTGAAATTAGAAGTTCCTATAAGGTTTTGCTTCAGGAGAGAAGAGGCCTGAGAATTAGAACAGCTTTGGCATTGAACTCTTATACATCTTTAGGTAGCTATTCACAGAGAAGAGGGGTTTTAATGTTGACGTTAATTCAGCACCTATCAAAAGGGGTCACATTGCTGTGAATAAGGAAATATCCCTAAATATAATGAGCTCATAATGTATTCAGGTATCACCCGCTRGCCGGACTGGTGATATGACCTGGGTTCAAAGGAGCTGTGTGTATCAATAACTAGGAAAACGGTGAAGAAACCACACAGTACCAAACTTAAGTCTCTAAGGCAGGACGGCTCGATGACCCAAGGGTCAGCACAGCACTGGAAGAAGCAAGAGGGGGAGCAYACCCGAAATCTTCTATTTATTGGGGAAAAGACATTCGAGAAAGTTCCACCCAAATAAGGCAAGGGATTGGGCTTGGAAGGGTGGAGTCTTGCTTGGTGATGTCCTGTGGTCAGCAGGTTGACCGACATCTTGGAAAGCCACACCCATCTCAGGTGCTATGTGGGATCACAGGCAGAGCAAGAGAAAAGGCCCCATATGTCACAAGGCCAAATCAGGCAGCAATGTCAGGCCAGTCCCCTCATACGCTCAAATGCTCATAGCTCACACACACAGCCCACGGCTGGCTGGCGACATTCAGGGTGTTTTTTCAGAGAACAGAATAAGGAGCTGAGGTTGTGGCTCAGTGGTAGAGCGCTCGCCTGGCATGTGTAAGGCTCGGGGTTTGATCCTCAGCACCACATAAAAATAAAGGTATTGTGTTCATCGACAACTAAAAATATTAGAGAGAGAGAGAGAGAGAGAGAGAGAGAGAGAGAGAGAGAGAGCAGAACAATTTTCTGAGAGACGTCTGCCAGAGTCTAATAGGTATATATCTATAGCAGGGCATGACCTAAAATAAATCTAATTGCCTTCTTGATAATTAAACAATGAATTGAAGAGGTACCGAGGTTGAGGTCGCTAAAAGAGAGCGTGCCTGCTAAAAAAAAAAGAGACAAAATGGGAGCTGGAACTTCTAATGGGCAGGTAGGAGATGTATCAGTCTGCCTTCTGTTACAATCACAAAACACCTGAGACCGGTATTTTCTGTTACTATAACAAAATATCTACCCTGAAAGGAACAGAGTCTTCCTTTGGCTCATGATTCTGGAGATACAAGGTTTAGGGGCCACATCTGGTGATATCCTCTTTGCTGGCGGAGTCCCAAGGCAATGCAGGGCATCCCATWGTAAAAGACGGAGAACACACATGGTTTTGTGTGGTTTCTCTCCATCTTCTTACTGAGCCACGAGGATCTAATCATGGCTCTACCCTAACGACTTTAATGCTATCACTTTCCAAATGCCCTGCCCGTAAACATCACAGCTGACTAAGTTTCCACCCTCTTAGTACCTCACAACAAAACGTAGGGGGGAGATGGAAAACTGAAGTAGTCTGAGAAAGAAAGTTGAGATACTCACCTGAGAAAAAATCAGAAGAAAAATATGACATTTTAGAGAAACATGGGAAAAGAGATGATAGACAGCAAAAATAAGAATACTCACAATGTCCAATGCTCCAGAGACAGAGTCCACTGGGGACATGGAAATACTGATTGAGTGGTGAGGACTGAAGTTACTTTATAATAATTTTAGAAAAGACTAGGATATGTAAAGCAGAGACGATCATTTCAAGGAGTTTATGGATAAATAAATGATGAGTTTTCTGAAAAAATACAGGAACCACAATTTTTATACTACACAATGCAATTTTTCCTATTATAAATTTGTATTAGGGCTGGGGCTGGGGCTCAGTGGTGAAGCACTTGCCTRGYATGTGTGAGGCACTGGGTTCGATCCTCAGCACCMCATCGAAAATAAATAAATAAATAAAACAAAGACATTGTGTTTATCTACAATTAAGAAAATTTTTAAAAAATTGTATTATGCATGATCATGATGGCCAACTGTCCATTAGATTGTGGTATTATGTGGCAATTCAGAAAGCTTAGTTTTTGAAAAAAAATATTTTTCTTAAAACTTGATTTTTAAGAGTATATGGAGTCTTAGAAATGATTATTCAAAAGCCAATAAGTGATGAAAGTGGTGATGACACCCACCCTGATTATATCTGTAGTGAGAAGAAGTAGGGTTGACATCAGGGAAAGAGAAGATTGAAATAGAGCTGAGAGAAACAATGAGAAACATTTCAGAGATTACCACCAAGATTACTGCTGATCAGTATCTCTTCACAAGCTTTGGTATTTAAATGGGCATCATTCTGCCTAACAAGATTCCTTGCCCCAGAAAACTGGTGCTACCTGAGGTGGTCAGAAGTCTTCGTTTTGTCCTGTTTTCCTTGTTGGACTCAAGTGAGGCCATAGTAGGTATTTATGAAGATAAAGATGGCAAAAGAATGAGGGTTGGGTGTGTCGATAGCTATTGAATGTTCTACATGCAGAACATGATTCTGGATAATCTGGAAGTTTGGGAGAGATTTGACACCACCCTCACCTTCAAAGATGACTTTAGAAGTAAAGTTTAGCATTTAGGAGGCCAAACAAACAGGTACTCTGCTTTTATATCAGGCAGACAGAGCCTAGTGCACACAGGTTATTTTCTGTGAGATCAAGCTGTGACTCTCTGGAGGGAGAGACCATGCCATGGAAATGAACACAGGTGCAAGCAGAGATGTGCGAGAGTGAGACGGAGGGAGGGGTGAATAAAGCATCCAGGGCAAGGATTTTATATAATCAGAGTGTTAGTAATATGAAAACGGTGAAGAAGAGATTGTCATATAAAGTAATATGGGGAAAAGAGGTAAAACTCTTTGAACTTAATGGAAACTAGAGAGCCACACTTTACCCTCTAATTGAATGACTGATTCTGTGTAGCGTACAAATTTAGAGACTATTATCCTATGTGCAAGAAAAATGAAGACTCGTTTAATGGGAATTACAGCCAATAAGTACTCCAGTGGAATCAATACTAGTGGAGGTCACATGTTCTTGATTCAAGAGACTCAAGGGATTGTATCAAATGAGTTGACGATAATCTCCGTATTTTCACTTTTTCTTATGGTAGTAAGGATTGACTCCTTTCTAGATTATCTATTTGCTGGCTGTAGGTAGGAAGTCTGGCTTGTTAGCCACAACTGTTTTTCTTTTTTATTGTGTTTGCTCTTTTTGCATATACATGACAGTAGAATGTGCTTTGACCTGTTATACATACATGGAGTCTAACTTAAATTAGGGTCCCATTCTTGTGGTTGTTCATGATGCGGGGTTTCATGGTGGTGTGTTCACATATGAACAAAGGAAAGTGATGTTGGAATCATTCTACTGTCTTTCTAATTCTATCCCCACTCCCTTCCCTTCATTCCCCATTGTCTAATCCAATGAACTTCTACCCCCACCCCCACCCCCACCCCCCACACACTCCTTATTGTAGGTTAGCATCCACCTATCCGAGGGAACATTCCACCTTTGGTCTTTGGGGATTGGCT